CAACATTGCAATGCTAGTAGTTCCTTTTTGCAAAATGCAATCCAATTGTAAGTTGGAACGGAGTGGCAACTAGTCATGTAGATTCCCTGATTATAAATTTGGGTGGAGGCGCAAGTCATCGGGGATCTTATGAAGAGACGAAAGGAGCTGCAGTTTGAATGAATGAACAATATAACCCGCCAATAACTTAACGCGCTATACTTGCTTCTTGCGTCTGTCATCTTTGTAATAAGGTCAAATCAGTCTCATAGCTAGCGATCGAATAAAAAAGTTTTTAAATTTCGACAATGATTCAGGTTCTTCAGTTGGAGAGACAATCATCTAGCTACTATCCTTATCGGGACTTCTTTAAAATTTTGAATTTGCATAAAATTGTTCAAGTAAGGACGGAATTAAACCTTATTTCAGATCTAGGTAAAGTATCGTCGTTTACCTAAAGCCTAATTTTTCTGTATTTCGACGTTCCACAAATGGTTGTTGCCGCAAAACATTGTCACGAACCGTGCGAGGTCCCGACAGTGCGGTCCGTAGACGATGGGAGATCCCAAACCTCCTGACAGTTATATGGGGGAGGGGGGAGGTTGGCCCAAACCTGACAAAATTTTTTAAAATGGGTTGGAGTTCAACACTGACTGAAATATACTTGACTTGAAATCTAGGTGAGTAAATGGGGATAGGTAAAAAAAATCGCGGAAAAAAGCCTGACGTCATTCCGAGACAGCCCTAAGCACGCGGCATGGAGGACGCACTTGCAATATATGCGGATCTAGAGGATCCTTGTGGATTGTAAAGCTGCTTTTAAAGATCAGAAAAGCTGACAGCAATGCGGCGGTGACCAGCATCGACTGACATCAATGTTTTCAAGCAAAATCCATACGTAAAGTATCGGAATCCAAGGAAATTAGCTTTTCAGCTGAAGAGTATCCTCCAGCTCTATCCAAATACATGTTCAGCTAGATCCTAACTTGAACAATTTTCGTCACATTCACAATTTTTAGGAAGTTCCGATAACGACGGTGGCAAGACGATTGTCTCTCCAACTGAAGTAGGAACTCTTGCCAGGACTTGAAAACTTACTTATTCAAACGCTTTCTGCGAAACCAAGTAAAACTAATTAATTCGTTGACAAATGTAAGAAATAAGTCGTGATCATTGTATAACCGGTGAGGGTAGCTACGCCGCAAATCACTGATATCATACAAGGGGCTCTATTTCCCTCAAAATCTACAAGAACGTACGAGACTTTTTTTTATTTTTTTTTATTTTTATTTTTCAAACCATTTGGACACAATCATTTGGAGAATGCAGTCTCCCCAAAAAGAATATAAGCACACGTATATTCTTTTACCGACGAAATTTTCAATTGATCTTATTTCTCTTTAAAAAATTATTTATCTGTTCCATTTTATTAACAAAAAATGTTTTTCAAAAGGGAATTATAATTTTCGATTACTTTATTTTTTTTAAATTTATTCGAACCAGATGCACCCTTCACGAATGGTTTCAGCAAAAACATAAAATTACATACTGAGCGACTAAAGAAAAATAGTTGTTACAGTATTAAATCGTTGAGGAGATAAGAAAAATATGAATCTATTAATTCCTCATTAATACGTGGTATTTGAAAGATGCGCGCGTTTGAATTTGATATTCATATAAGAATGGAATCAAGGCAAATAATACTTATAAAGAAATAAGAAGCTATTTAATTCAAGAAAAGCACATCAAGACAACGAGATTATATTTATTGCAGTGCGGCTGTGTGAACGGAACCCAGCGCGGTGGGTGGAGATGGGGCGAGGGGTGCAAACGGATTAAATACACCAAATGAAGCTGCCTGCGCTGCGTGACAACGCTGATTACAAGATGGGACGAAAATAAGTAGTTCCCGGATGAGTGGGCAATTCCGGTTTTATAAAGAGATCGGAAAATCTAAAAGGAGAAAGGACAGCGTGCGAAAAAGGCGTGACAAATTAGGGGATTGAGTTCGGACGCCTTTGCAATGGGTGACCTCGAAGCAGTGACAGGTAATCGGCTTGGCAGCGGTGTATGGAAAAGAGAGAAATTTTTGTCGTCTTGGGACCGCCAAAGTCGGGACATCGTCTTATTTCTATCAGTATCGGGACGGTCCCGATAGTGTTTCATGCGAGAAAGTACAACTTTTCTGGAGAGAGTCGAAAAACGGACAACACTCCCCGCAGATGCCAACCCGGGGCTACCCGTAACCGTTGTTAACTCCGAAGTCCCGACAATGATGGTACGTAGTTGAAGTCCCGACAATGATTCGAACTCCGTCAGGGGAGAGAGGGAGAGAGAGAGAGAGTGAGTGCGAGTGAGGGGGAGGGAGAGAGAGGGAGAGAGAGGGAGAGAGAGGCATTTCCATCTGTCAGTAATTTATTATGTTTTCTTTAAAAAGTTTTGTAATTGATACCTGTGTTTTCCTTCCTATCATGTAAATATATCTTGATCTAATGTTCTACCACCCTTTCTTTCTTTCTTCAATTAAAAAACATAATATGTTTACTTCCATTAAGTGTATTGGTGCCCAAAATCAGGCATATTGGTGAGCTTATCCGCATCCAAAGAAATATTTGTAGTTTTTAGGCTTGATCCTTTTCAAAGGACGTATGTGACTCTGATGCTGGGATGTATCAGTCGTTGTCACAGGAGGAGGGGCTTTCCAAGAAAAATGTTGAAAATTAGTTACCACCAAGAATGCAAATTTTGGTTGTTTCTTTGGTACAATATCACCTTTTTCTTCTTTTATTTTTGAGGTTTCAAACACGAATGAATCTCGTTATTATCTTATGATTAGCTCTGAAAGAAAGCCTCATATCTCCCCAGAGGATTGTTTTATTTTAGTCCAGGCGCCTGGTAGCTAAAAATGAGGCTACCTGGAATTTTGGGTACACAGCGATTTTTTTGGCTTACTTTATGTTTTTTGGGTCGCTGAATCCGAATCTGAAGTTTCCGCACGCGTATCTGGTGAGCATTTTCCGCTATTTTGAAAAAATGGCCTAAAAAGGCCTTTTTTTGCGGTTTTTTTGATATAGCGGCTACGGATGAGGAAAAGTCCCGGATTTAGCTAATGTTTTGAATAGCTGACAAAATTTGGAAGAAAACAGTATATGAATATGCTAGGTTTGCTCAAAAATTGAGGAACCTCGGATTTCGGAACTTTAGAACGCTTCGGAACTTGGCTGACCGCGGCGAGCCGGATCGCGCGTTGACGGGTGCGCCGCGAAAACGTGAATAGGCGCGATGTTCACGATGCTGTATCTTCCTCAATTTTTAAGCAAACCTAACATATGTATACACCATTTTCTTCCAAATTATGTCAGCTATTCAAAACATTAGCTAAATCTGGGACTTTTCCTCATCCGTAGCCGCTATATCAAAAAAACCGCAAAAAAAGGCCTTTTTAGGCCATTTTTTCAAAATAGCGGAAAATGCTCACCAGATACGCGTGCGGAAACTTCAGATTCGGATTCAGCGACCCAAAAAACATGAAGTAGGCCAAAAAAATCGCTGTGTACCCAAAATTCCAGGTAGACTTACCAGGCGCCTGGACTATTTCGCGATTTTTGCTTTTTTTCAATGTATGCCAAAAAATTGATTTCTAGAGACCCTATTTAAGGGACATTTAGAAGGTACATCAAATATTTTGCGAAGGGGTGCTTTTGTATTTCCGAGGAGCTAATAACAAAGTTGAGCACACAATCTATTTTTTTTGACTTTCCAGAGATTTTCACCAATTTCTTTTTCTGATTTACCTTACAAGGAGATCATTTTTCTTCTGTTTTAAGTAGCGAATATCATAGTGGACTACTTTGGTATACTTTATCTGGAATGAGGGTAGTCTTTTGATTCCCGCAAACATTTTACAATGCTAAGAAACATGATATACTGAAACAGATCTGAAGTTGAATATCTTTTTTATAGTGGGATTTTGATCTGAATTATTTTGAAGGCTCTAAAGGCTCACCTGTAAGTAATTATTTGTGATGTTCAACGTTTTCTAGATGGTGAAGATGCAATGCATCGAAATTAATTACAATGATCCAATAATTTTGTCTTTGATTCAAAAATTCTATTGGAAATGAAAAAAAATATGTTTAGACATTACTTTTAGAGGGCCAATTGTAAGAAAAAACATTTTCATACACAGTTGCAACTACAGAAGTTCACTTAAGACCATGGGAATTGTTTACTTTGCAGGTCTTTTAAAGAATCGGCAAAATTTGCTGGAAATTTAATAATGATAGTATTTTTTTATCTGTCTGTCACCTCTGATGACAAGCAAAACACAGCCCCCAACAAAATAATTTTCATCACACCCTCTTAACCTAAACTAGAAAAAAATCAAAATTGAAGGCTCATTCAAATCATTGGCTCTGAAAATAGAAGGCCCCTACTTTTGCATGCATGCCAAGTTGCTCAGGAAAATTGGTGAAAATCGCTCAAAAGTCACTAAAAATTGTGTTTATTGGCCTTTCTAGGTGCTCCTTGAAGCCTCAGAGACTCGAGGTACTCTCCGGCGACAAAAGTTAGGCAATGAATCGTTATTGCGAGACATTATTCGCAGTAAAATATCTAGCGGAAACTCAGCTGTGATGAGTTGTCTGCAGTAAAATATCTAGTAGGGAATCAGCTGCGATGAATTGTCCTAGACTTTGATGAAGGAATCTGCTGTTTTTCTAGATTTTAGATAGAAGTTTTGGAAAAACAAATGCAATTTATTCAATTGTAATTTTTGGCTAATAATAAGCCTAACTCCTTTGTTGTTTGTGTGCAAAAAGTGGACCTCAATAACTTTCGGGAAGAGACTAAGTGAAAATGTATACTGCATTTAGAGAATGCTGTTAATTTAGTAAGAGGATGATGTTGAAGATCTGTTTTTATTGAGAACAATTCTAAAAATTTGATTTTTTGCGCATGAAAAAGTTAAGAACTTTTCTATCTTTCTTCGATTTCATACCTTCCGCATGACATTTGTCTAGGCTATCTCGTTTCCTACACTCGCCACTCACCAAATCAAGAAAATGTGGTGGAAGTAGAAAAGGTGGTTGGAGATAAAATGTCTACAGTGATAAAGAATCTCTCTGCCAACACAACTTACTTTTTCCAAATTCAAGCTCGCACCAAAGGAGGAATCGGACCAATGAGCAACAATATCTCATTTACAACACCAGGTGGGTTTATTATTAAAATTCGCTTTTATATCTTTGATCATTTTTTATTTTGTCATATTTGGATGTTTAACATGTTCTCTATCACCAGGAATAAAAATGAGCGTCTCAGATGAAACCAATGAGGAATGCCAAGAAGGAGTTGTAAAAAGAGAGCAATTTAAAATGAAAAAACTCAAGAGTAATTTGTGCTGCTAGTAGTTGATGATTACCATCTCAACTTGAGCACTCAAAACTTTCTTTAGAAATGGTCACGAACAGTAGTCAGAAAATCAAAGAATCCCTGAAGATGCCCTTTGCTTCTTACAGTCCGATTCTTTCTGTTTAAAGAAAAACAGAAACAAATACCATTCATAAGAAACCTGAAGGAGTTTTATAATGGAGCCAAGTTTAAATTTTACGATTCAGCTACTTTAAATTGAGTAAAAGTAGGAGCTTTTTCCTCCTATTCTCTGACAGAAAGCTACTCCTGTCTGAAAGTCACATGTGAAATGATGTTATGTCACAATATTCCAAAAGTAAAATATCAACAGACCGCGGTTTTTGTAAGACCGCTATGGATTAGGAGTCGAATTAAAGTCAAATTAATAGATTATCAGTGCTCTCCATGTATATCCATTTCAACTGATTCCTGTATCTGAAGGAGGAGAGGGCCAGACTTATTTCCGTCCTAATCCAGGAATTATTTGTCCCCTCTGCAACTTGTTTATTTCCTGAGACTTTTGAGCTAATGTTATCTTACATTAAACAATTGCCATTTTCCGTCTTATTTACATCTCTAAAAGGGGATGAAATTGTGAAAAGAGAGAAACACCCTTTGTTACTTATAATTATTCAACCATGATTACTGGGGTCGCTTATTGTCAAAAATCACCCTAATAGCTCAAATTAGGAGACCAGCATGAGACTTGGTGAAAATGTAATTTAAGGTACCTATAACAAAAATCCATCGGGACCCAAGCTGGATCTCCCATGGGTTTCCCGTATATTCCAATCCCATTTTCCAAGGTGGCCGCCATAAGCTGATTTCCATTATTATCTCATTTTTCAGGCGTTCTGACTTACCTATTAACATGAAATTGGCTGGAATATACTTGAGTGTGTCTAGAATGAGAAAAAATTAACATTCAAGTCCAGTCGTTCATTTTACCCTTGCTATTGGCCGCCAT